TGAAGGTCTCATCATTTGTAGTACAACGGTAAAAAGTCTGACAAAAACGGATTCGGATGAAGAAGTTATGAATTTTTAACGGATTTTCCAATCGCAGTCTGTTAAAAATAATAATATTGTAGAGCGTAATTTTAGCTACGCGTGCATATAAAGAACGTCAAAAACGGAGCTTGTATGCGAAAGTTATGGATTTTAGAAGTTCGGGGCTCAATTTCCGAGAAATCTCGCATGAATAGTACTGGCCACGTCACCTCGCCCGAAGCAGGTGCGTCACCGGAGTCATGGCACGTCCGAAGACCGACGCGTGTCGCACACGTGTTCGAGCCTCGCTTCGCCACCGCCACCCCCTCTCGCATGCGAGCCACGTGCTTCGTTTCGATGGAGCCACGTTCGAGCCACGCAACAGCCTCGTGCCCCTCGCTGTTGATGCCACCGAGCTTCGCTGCATGGTTCCCTTCCCAGCCGACTTCAGTCTCGCACCCTATAAATAAGGGGTTGCGAGACTTGCCAACTAACTTTGAATTTTTGACACTTTTCACCCCCTTTTCCATATTTTCTTCATTTTGACTTTCCCCGAAGCCCCGGTATCAATTTTAGCATCGGAAACACGTCCCAAAGCTCCCGAGAAGCCCGAAAATTTTATCTTTTCGGTTTTGAAGCCCTACCTTCGCAGAGCCCGGTTTTCAATTAAGCTCTCGGTTATCAACATATAAAGTCATATTTAAAGCCGAAGTGTTGTCCAAATTACTATTTTAACCCCCGGTTAATTTAAGGTGAGTTCAATATATAGGAACAATTGTATGTTATGTGTTATATGTGCTATGTGCTTTTCAGTGTTATTATTCTGAGTTATTTTCTCGTGTTATTTTTATTCGCTATTTTTAATAGAAAAGTTATACCTTTGACCATGTGATCAGTAAAAGGACTTAGATTCACGGTGGTATTGGTATGTAGCCTCTGACCATGTAGAACATGTCTCGTAAGAGAATGACTTCTATTCTATGGCATTGGCAGAAGGTTAGATAGGAATGGTATGTAGTCTCTAACCATGTAGAGCATGACTCCGTAAGAGAATGAACTCTATTCTATGGTATTGGCAAATGGTTAGATAGAGCTATAAGCCTGAAATCTAGCAAAATGTTAATCAGAAGTTATATGTCTTCTGTGCCATTTGCGCCAAAACTTTATTGATGCATATCAAGTATTGAAATCGTTATGTCTCATTGATCCTAAATCTTTGAATCAAATCTTGAGTTGATATTGAAAGCCTGACATATGATACGCATATTTTATTGTTGTTCTTGTTCCCTTTTGCTTTTGTCATATTGGTATATATATATATATATATATATATATATATATATATATATATATATATATATATATATATATATATATATATATATAAGGCATACGATTATATTGTATCTATTTATTAAATTCACTAAGCGTTATAGCTTATCCCTCTCAATGTTTAACAATTGCGGGTGATGAGTATCCAATATAGTTTTATACTGCTGAAAGATTTAGAATAGTTAATACTATTTCTCTATATTTTAATGTTCATGTGTGCATATGAATAGTAGATTCCTGGGTAGACATGAAATGTAATAAAACTTAGTAGGTTTGTATCCAATCTTTTGTAATCACTTTATCAATATAAAATATTGTTTTATAAATATGCATGTAGCATGTTTTGAGGAAGTAACTTAAGAATTTTTTTTCTGAAATAGTAAGAAAGTTTGAATCTTTCATAAATACAAAAGTTGGGGTCTTTTAGAACATCTTTGGATTCTACTGTATTCAGATCTAATTTGATTGTTTCAATCATCACAACTAGAGAACCAACCTCTCCAATTCATTGGAATCCCTTGGCCAACAATCTTCCCTTAAATGTCTTTCTATAGTGCACCAACTTGTGTTCCTCAACTTGAAACATCTATTCGTTCTATTCGTTCTATAGTGCACCAACTTGTCTTCCATAGCCTTCTCCTACTTTATGTAGTCTTTCATCCTCAAGGCTTATGGATATGACCCATGTACGCAATTCTTAGTTTATGGAGAATACCTAACTGGAGTTTTTTGTTCTCTAGTCGTTCAATGTGCAATAGAAGGTCTAATCTCTACATTATCTGTAACTTCATTTTTAATTATTATCACTTAAGATCCTACTATCTCTAGATTTATTAGAGCTCCCACTACTTCCTGAAATTTTGCATAGACATTAGCCAATGATAGGTCTTGTATGATACCAAGATGCTCTCATTGATGAAACGAAAGACGGGTCGTAAATACACGGATGAGCTAATTCCAACTTTTTGGTCTTGGATGGATTGCCAATCTTCACAAAAGTGACTCTCTTCTGTTTGTCTGGATTACATGGATTAGAAACAACCAACACAATTCAGATCTAGTATTCTTCCTTTAGAGACTCATATCTTCATTTCCTCCTTACTTACCCCAACTTCTTCAATAGTGGGTGCTTCATATTCAGAAACCTTCACCATATATAATGGACCTCATTTCAAAACTTTAGCAATACCTAGGTTTCCATTCTTCAATCTCCATTTCTGGTCACCAAAATTAACATAATGACCTTAATTATCAAGTTGTCATACTGATATCAACACCTTCTTGAGGTCTGAATTGAACTTGACATTCTTCATAGTCTAATTCCACTACTAGAAAAACAGCCTTTTACGACGCTCATTGCGCGTCGTAAAGGGCTCAGACGACGCGCAAATGCGCATCAAGGAAGGCCATGTCATAAAGAGAGACGACGCGTATTTACGACGCTCATTTACGACGCGCAATTACGACGCACATTTACGACATGCAATGCGTATCAAGAAAGGCCATGTCATAACGGAAGACGACACGCATTTGCGTATCGTAACCTTATGACGCGCGTGTTAATGACACGCAATGCGTATCAAGAAAGCCCCTGTCAAGAAAGGCCATGTCATAAATGCAAATGACACACATTTTTGCGTATCATAATTTTAACTGTTTAAAAAAAAATTATTTGTAGATTTACTAATTTTCAAATTAAATTTCCATTTCATGTATCATAATAAAAAATAAAATACCATATACAAAAAATATAATATATTGCACAAAAGTTAATGTCACAAATAATCATTCCAATAGTAGACAAATGGATATCAAAGGGATCAAAAATATGTTTGTCTTCTAATAGAACTTATACACAAGAAAGTACTGAATTTGCTATTGAATTTATACACAAGAAGAAGGTGTTTGACTTCAGAAAATGTCCCAGCAACTTAATTGGCCCCGGAAGCTTGTGGTTTGACTGCAACTGAGATAAGGATACCTTGTTTACTCTTCTTAAGCTTACTAAACAAACATGACAATAAGATAATATAAAACTGAATTATTATTAAGATTAAGCCACAAATGCACTCAAGCTATACAGTAAGATAATTGGGTAGATTTTTGAAAGTACAATGTTCTAATAAGAAAAAATGAAATTAGGATGTTATAAACTTGTAATAAATAAATAAATCAATGAAAGTGCATTGTTACTTTATGAATCTAACCCTAAAAAAAGCTATAGAACTGAGGAGGTGAAGATTACCACAACTTTATTTTGCAGCATGAATGTCCCCGTTATGATGGATACCTGTTGATGACAAGAAACCAAATTATCAAGATAAAAATAATTATAACATTTCTTGCATGTTGCATTAATATGTGCAAATATTATCTTATATTAAGTAATAAACTAATAGTAGCATGCAATTAATGAAGTAGACAGATCTAGTCCCTGAAAAACGTACATATAAAACATTCTTTATAATGGATGCACAATTTAAAGTCAACGAGAGAGCAAATCCAGTCAACATGGCTATGAATGGATAACTCGTGAGTAGTGGTATAGACACAACCTACACAAAACATATTCAAGACCTCACTTAACAACCAAACATCCCATTTTTCAAGATTCATATATAAAAAAAAAAAAATTCTCTCATGCAAAATCAATAATTACATCAAAAATGAATAATTAAATTAAACAAATGGTAAAAGAAAAACTAAATTAAAGAAAAATTGCTTACTCCTGCAATACGAGCTATTACTATAGGGCCAAATATCCTTTCCAGAAATGGATACAATGTGAACTGGAAGTGTAAATCATATTCATACCTGTTTATAACCAGGGAGCACCTATGAAACATCATTATGTAGCTCCTCGCTTCTAATTTCCTACAAGTGTAAATCAAAATAATAAGCTAAATTGTAAATATGCATCAAGCCAAGGGAAAAAGGTGGAATTTTTAATACCTGACTTAGGAGAGATAAGTGGGTTGTGATCAACACCTTGGGCTCACAAAATACTAAGCGCACTGTGGAGTTGATGGGTAACTTTTCTAACTCAAGCCCAAGTTTTACTGAATCAACTCTGACTTTGGTCAAACAGGGATTAGACCTACCTTATATTCACATAAGTTTAATCCAACCAACGACACAATTGGCGCTAATTCCTCTTCGCACCTCTGTTTCTCTTCTGCCGATCGAACGTCAATTGGCCACCTCTTACTCAACCACGATACCCAGCTCCTCAAGGTTGGAGGCGTTGGCTTATCCTAATATCGTCTTCAAAACCCTAGGGTTCAATTTTGGATCCTCTGTCATCAAAATGAGTTATTGAGCATTCTTGTTGATTCACCTGGGCACATTGGCTCTTCTACTGATATTAATGTTGTCTTATGTATCGGATATGGTGTATTAGCTACTGTTGATTTCAATAAAGATGATAGTGTCATGGAAAAAAAATTCTGTCTCCAAAACTGTGGAGAAATATTTCATCTTTTTGTGGCTGTTAACAAAAGTGACAAGTATTTCTCTAAATATCTGGTGCATGGAGCATACTTCACATTTCAAAAGGTTACTGAAGATTCTAATGTCACCTTATCCAAACATCAGGACCCCCTGGGTGATATTATGGTTCCCGAGAAAGAGTGCAGGGGAATTGGTGTATGCTTGCTGGAATCAAAATACAGGAAAAAGGTCTTGAACAGGTTACAATTACAGCTGGTTATGATGATCTTGGTGGAAGTAATGTCATTACTGGTGAGAACAAGAAGAGTATGGAGAGCTCTTGGATCCTGGAGAATTTGAAGAAGAAAGGGATTGATGAAGAGATAGATAAAGAAATACTTGTTATTGCTAAAAAGGGAAAAGATGTTAGCAAAGATTTGATGTTAAAGTTGTTGCCAAATAAGTTTCTTAGGGCAAATGGAAGTGGAAGTGAAGTTACTTATGGTGAGCTTTATCGGCTGGAAGAGTTCCTGTTGTGCCCCCTTATTGTTTTAGATGATTCAGGTGATGGTTTTACTAAAGGACTTGAAGCTGAATTAGCAAGTTTACATAGCAAGGGCTTTAATGCATCAGTTACTTCTGGTGGATATGGCTGGTACATCACCTTAGATCCTAATGAGAATGGTTGGGAAGTTGTGAAAAAAGGTGGGAATGCACAAGTCATTGGTGAAGTCCCACATAAATTCAAGAATGTTTTTGAGGTGGTGAGGATACAAGCGAGGGTCCCAGTTTTCATTACCAATACTTCTCCTCAGGTGTGATGAGTAATAAGAATGGGAAGGTTGATAAAGTTATCAAGATGATCTTAGAGGAATTGGAGCCAGTGATTGTAGGGCAAGCCACCAAACAAGGGTTCGAACTTGAAGAGATGGAAGGAGAACAACAGCAACAGGAGTCACTTAAGAAGAAGTCAGAGGAGATTTTGGTCTATTCTCTTAAGTTATTGATGTTACACGTGAAGTTTGAGTTGTTTCGGGTTTACCTTTCATTTTGGCAACCGCGCTTGAAAAGGAATGCAAGGACGACCCATTCTTTCCTTCACCTTGAGGACAAGGTGAAAGTTTGGGCCGTTGGTATTGATAAGCCCTGACATTTCTGTTATCTTTTTGGCCAGGGGTAGGATGGTTTTTTCTGGTATTATGGCTGTTTTGTTATGTCAAGAGCACTAACTTTGTCCCAGGACTGTTTTAGGGGACCACTCCCTAGAGGTTTTTGTTTAGCAGCTAAGAATTATTATGAATTGAACTTTGTTCTTTCTTGGAGATACCCACATCTCGAAAGCTGGGAATTATCTTAATATTATCACGTAATTGAATCAGGGGTTAAAATGCCTGGAGTTTATGATAGATTCAACAAGGATCTATCAGTGGCTTGGGATTAAAGGACTTAGAACAAATCTTGTAAGAGCATAAATGAAAAGTGCAGTGTTGTAAACTGTAATAGAAAGAAATAAAAGTAAAATGTTTTCACAATAAGCAAATACATAAAAGTATGTTGTTATTTCCTGTAAACTGTAATATACCTGGAAAGTGAATATGACCTGGAAAGTGAATATCATCTTCTGTCACATTCTCCAACATGATGAATAAACATATATATGTAAATACTAGTAAATGTTAACAGGAAGCATGTTCCCATCTCTATCTATTGTGTTCACTAGAGTCTCATCTCCATCCAGGCATATTTGAGCAACATCAAGTCCAGCCTTCACCAAACCACCCTATAAATAAACATATATATGTAAATACTAGTAAATAGTCAAACAAAAGTTTACTAAAGTCAACTTTAGGCTACTTACTAGATTGTTTCAGAGATCCAAAATGTAAGATTCAACACCCTGATTTTCAAATTCACGAATGGCGTGTTTCATATCTGTAGCAACACTCTGTTTACAAAAGCTTGTTGTTAGATGAATTTAAGATATGAAGTTATAAAGTAAGACTAAGATTTAGAGAATTAATAAGCACCTGGGAGAAGGCTAATAGCTTTACATATCCGGTTTTGGATACATGACCATTTGGTGTTCTATGAGGAATGATGACACTTAATATAGGAGAAAGTTTGATGAATTCCCGGGGTAGTTTCACCTCTCTAAAACTAGAGTCAATGGCCAACTTTTTTCCATGTAGATCAGAAATATGAACATGCACAAATTTCTATAAAACCCTTTGGAAAGGAATCAACCATTCCATTCCTTCCTACCAAACTTAAATGTAAGAAACTTACATTGTGCACTTTGACTGTAACACTTGTCCCAACATAACCTCTAAGCTTTTGTGCAGCAGCTTCACTACTAATCCCTTTAACTCTCTCTCCATTTATTTCAATCAACTCATCTCCTACATGTATTCCAGCTCTAGCAGCTGGGCTACCCTCAACACAAGACAATAAAACCTAAAACAAAAAATTTTAAATTTTTAAAAATAAAAAATAAATAAGAATCCATAACTGAGGTCTCAGGTTCAAGTCTCAGCATCACAAACCAGATGCCCCGTTTCTGGTTCAATATTCACAAATAGTCCAACTCCTTGTACGTTTCCATCACTTCCAATTCTAAAACTTTGGTATTCCTGTACAAATCATTGCCGAAAAGAAAATAGAGTAAGTTCCCCCTTTTTGGAATCTAGGAGTAAGAATAAGTTACAAAAATGGTTCCTGTTGTTTTTGAATTTTAGTCCAAAACTGAAAACTCTTTTAGAAACCACAGGGACAATTTTTGTAAAAGTAATGGGAAAAGTTGCACCTTTGGACTGATAATGCGAGTGAAGCGATCTTCAAGAGTAGAAAGCATTCCTTTAATCTTGCTGTATGCGGCATCAGCTGTTCTAAGTGGATGCATTTCCACCATTGTTTGCTGGAATTTCGAGTTCCAGTCTACAGAAAACACATAAAATTACGTTAAACTTATTGACACTAAATGACATAAAACGATAGAAATGAATCGTACCTTGATGATTAAAAGTTGGATCAACAAAAGTCTCTCTGATCAAACCCCAAGGCTATGTAAAGTAGACCTGATTCCCCCACCCATATGGCTCCCAAGGCTATGTAATATGTGATTGTTCTGGCCACCTACTTGGTGCTTCTGGTTTAGTGGCTGAGATACCATTGTTGAGTCAATAGTCGATAGCCCAACAACATTGTTGGACATATCTGTTTTCATGTAATACTGATTAGTATTACTATTATTAAATCTAGGAGTAGGCATCATTCACCATTCATAGTCCATAACAAAGAGACCAAAACCCTAACTTATCAGTGAAAATAGACAGAAAGAATCAAAATAGTAAACATGTGGATGTGTGTGTGGTGCTGTGTGCGACTGTGAACAACTATCATAATGGGATTAAGAAGCAAAAAAGTACGGGAGATGGATGTCTCACCTGAGACATAAAAAAAAGAATACGGGAGATGGAATGGAGCGTACCTGAGATGCTTAGAGTGTAGAATTGGGGATCAAGGAAAGAGGATTGAGGAAATCACGATTAATATCTGTATCGCCTTTCCAGTTAGGGTTTTACAGAGGAGAATACAAGAAGAATCAAAATCGAAATCAGAGGCATGAATAAAGGAGAAAGAAGAGCAATTTTTACAATACAGAAGAGTGCACCTTACCAAATAATCCTTCGATTGACTGCAATTTGGAGTCAAATCGATATCGATTCAGCTAGATAATATCAATTTCGATTTCAATTTCATCTACTCCAAGTCTTTGTGGCCTATAAAACACGGTGTGTGGCTGATGATGGACAACCTGCGAGCTGCTGGTTTGTACCCAACGCTTTACCAGCAATACCTTCTCCCGATACGAGCTGCTGGGTTGAGGTCGCCTCAAAGAACCCTAAAATCTCTGGATCGAACACATACGAAGCGGATTCAATCACATAAATGGGCTCGGATCTTCCTTCACATGGGCCCCATGTTTACCTTGTCTAATTACTGGAAACCATAGTTGAACAAGAAGGTCTGTGTCCAT